TACGCAAGAGTCTGTGGATTTCCTCCTGAAGGTTTTGAGTGAGAAGAGCATTGAGAATGGAGACGCCGGAGCATGTATTTCACATCTGGGCACGAGGAGATGGCTTTAGGAGCTTCTGAGAACATGTTGGAATGCCTGTACGGGGGATGGTGGTTTCATCCCTCTATAGATCTGGCAATGCTACCAAGCCTGCCTGGTAACACAGCCGAGTAGCAATGCAAGTGTCTCTGTGCTCGTGTCTTCTCAAATTGGACCAAATAAGTCCACATCACGCTGATCAAAACAACAACCTGCTCTCTTTCTCTTCTGTATATTGTCGATGTGGTGCATAGTGTCTCCAGGTTGCGACAGGTTAGCGTAATGCATCCTTGTATAGAGTGTGGTGGAGTGTGGGTGGAAAGGTGTTGATGACGATCCACAGACGGCCAAACTCACACCGACCTGGTGATCGCCAAACAAGTCATTGTGACCTGTATAGTCAGTGCAGTCAGTGTTATCAGTATCTCAGTGATCATGGGCTTTGGATGATAAATTGCATGATTACTCACTCACTCACTCATTGACTTCCTCACAACAACCCCATCGACGGCGTTCACCAAAGCCGTGGCCAAGGTTCGCCCCAAAAACCGACGCTATTGCCGGATTCGCGGTTCCAGCCCGCTCGGCGGCCCTTCACAGAGGGAACTTCGTATCCTGTTGCGTGCAGGCCGGTGTCTTGGGAGGGACTGGAAAGCTATTCGTCGCATGATGGTCATGGATAAAACTGATAGGTTTTCGGAGGTTCTCTGCGCCACTTTTGCCAGTCACCAGGTGCGACTTTTGTTTTGAAAGGAAGGGACCACATTTTCGTGCTACAGCCATGGGAAGCGATGGGTCGTACGCCAGGGATGCGTCCCGCCCGGACTTTGAGACCGAGGTCGTCGTCGTGGGCACGGGGCCGTCTGGAGGGTCTATCGCCTCGTTTCTGGGATCTCATGGTAAGGACTATGTCTTTAAAGAAGAAGTCTTGCGAAGAGAAAAAAAAACGAAATGGCCGGGAACTGGCTGACATTTGTTAGGAATCAAGGGAATCATTGTTGGCGCGACGTCCACCACGGCAGAGACGCCGCGGGCCCATTTGACAAACATGGCAGCGATGGGTATGGAACATCTTCTCCCTGGAAAGGTACAATTATCCAACTCCTGAAGGCTAATATGATGCTGGAAAACTAGAATGTCTCCGCGACGTGGGTGTCGAGGACGAATGCCGCAAGCTGGCCAGCCCCAAAGACAGCCTGATGCACACGAGATTCGGGTACAGCATGGCCGGCGAGGAGTACGCGCGACTCTACTCGTGGGGGAACGGCCCTCTGATAGAAGGCAAATACAAGGACGCCAGTCCCTGCGACCCGATCGACCTCCCCCAGACGCACCTGGAGCCGATCCTCATCCGCAAGGCGACGACCAGCGGCTTCATCTGCCGCTTCAACACGGAATTTGTCAGTTTCGAGGACCACCGTGCGGAAGGGTACGTCGACGTGCTGGTCAAGGACCTCGTCTTCAAAACCCTCCACACCATCCGGTGCAAGTACCTCTTCGGGGCCGACGGCGCTCGCAGCAAGATCATCGCGCAGCTGGGCCTGCCGCTGAAGCAGAAGCCCGGGGGCGGCCTGGCGTGGAACGTGCTCGTGAAGGCCGACCTGAGCAAGCACATCCAGAACCGCAAGGGGAATCTGCACTGGTGCTACCAGCACGACCTGGAGCACCCGGACTTTGCCTGGATCGGGTTCCCGCGCATGGTCAAGCCGTGGCACGAATGGGTCTTCATCATGTTCCCCGTCCAGGGGTACCAGCCCAACCCGCCGCCCACGCACGACCAGTGGATGAAGCGCATCAGGCAGATGATCGGCGACGACGCGGTCGACGTGGAGATCCTCAACGTCTCCAAGTGGATGATCAACGACATCGTCGCCGAGAAGTATTCGAGCGGCAACGTCTTTTGTCTCGGCGACGCCGTCCATCGCCATCCACCCTCAAATGGTCTGGGGAGCAACACCTGTATCCAGGACGCGTATAATCTGGCGTGGAAGATTGCATACGTTCTAAAAGGTGGGTTTTCTTCTTCGTTCCCGAATCTCAGAACAGCGTGACTGACTTCTGCCAAAAAAAAAGGTCTCGCTGGGCCCGAGTTGCTCGAGTCGTATGACAAGGAACGACAACCTGTCGGCGAAGCCATTGTTGACCGGTATGGTCCTGACCCTCCGATCCCCATTTGCTTTTTTCCTGGGGCATCAACCGTTCTGACGTGATGCGTGATGTAGAGCATTCCAAGGCTACCTCGACCACCTCCCTCTGTGGAAAGCCGCGGGAATCCTGGCCCCCGACGCAGCGACCCGCGTCGCCGAATTCGGGAAACTCGTCGACGCGACGCCCGAAGGCCGAGAACGGCGCAAAGCATTCTTCAAGGCGGTCCAGGGGACCCGGTTCGAGTACCAGGGCCTGGGAATCGAGATGAACCAGCGCTATCAGTCGTCGGCTGTCTACCAAACCGATCAAGGCCCGATGCCCTCGTTCGAGGGCGACCCCGTGCTCGACCACACAAAGTCGACGTACCCGGGCTCACGTCTGCCGCACGTCTGGCTCAACAAGCCCATCCCAGAGACACCGATCCCGCTGCTCGACCTGGCCGGCCACGGACGGTTCACCCTCCTCACAGGCATCGGCGGGGACGCGTGGAAGACGGCCGCAGCCGATGCGGCTACCGTGCTGGGCATTCCCCTGGTCGCGTATTCGATCGGCTGGAGGCAGGACTACGAGGACATGTACCTCGACTGGGAGCGGGTCAGGGAGGTCGAGGAGGACGGCTGCATCCTCGTCAGACCGGACCGGTTTATCGCGTGGCGGAGTTTCGGGCCCGTGGAGAAGCCGGCGGACGTGTTGATACACGTTCTCAAAACGATTTTGTCGCGGGATAAGGGCGGTGAGGTGAAGATGAATGTGGATGTGAATGGGATGGTGGAATAGATCCAGACGCACGGACGCACACACACACACACAGAGAGAGAGAGAGGAGAGCGCATGTCAAGAGCGACTGTCAAAAAATCTATTCGACTTTTTATGCAAATGTGCAAAGTATCTAGCCATGTCTCTATCTCTCTATGTCTCCCATCTCCTCTAGATCTCGACTCTTCCTCTCCTGTAATGTAGCCCTATATCCTGCCATTCTGTTGGCTGGGATCTACTTTGCAAACGCATCCGTCGGCGCATCGTGCTTGACCGTCTCCCACACCCTCTCGATCCTCTCCACCACACTCTCGGTCAATTTCCCCCTCCGCAACCCCTGGAGCGTCGGCTCGATCTGCTCAAACTTGCTCGCGCCGATGACGACGCCGTCGCCGCACTTTGCGTCCAGCGCACTGTGGTACGCGACCCAGCGGTACGCGAGCTCGGCGCGCGAACACCCCTGCTCGCGCGCGATGTCCTCCCACTCCCCCAAAGCCTGCAGGTACGACTCCTTCAGGTACATCTGGTCGTACATGCCGTTCATGAAGTTGGTGTTGTACCGGCCCGCCCCGTCCACGATCTGCTGCTTCGTCTTGGTCAGCAGGCCCCCCGCCACGGGGGAGTAGGCGTAGAAGGCGATGCCCAGGTCGCGCAGCGTCGGGAACAGAGACGTTTCCAGCTTGCGCGCCACGGCCGCGTAGTTGCCCTGGAATACGCTGGGGAGGATGTATCCCTGGGCTTTGCAGTGGTTGTGGATCCAGAGCACGTCGGCGGCGGGGTAGTTGGATAGCCCGAACCGTTTGAACAGGCCGAGTTGGTGCGCTTCGTGGACGCCCGCGAGGGTTGATTCCAGCGGGACCGTCACGTCGGGGCAGTGGAGGTAGAATACGTCGACCTAGTAATGGGTTTTGGGTGAGTTAGCCTTTGGAGGTTGCACCCAAGATCTCTCTCTTCTCTTCTCTATCATGAGAAGCGCACGACTTACCACGCATCCAATCTTCTTCACACTCTCCTTCGCCCCAGCGACAATACCCTCCTTCGTCGCCAACCCGGGACTCCACCCCATCAACCACTTTGTGTCGATGGAAAACCTCTCGCCCGCTTTCGTTTCGCCCAGCCGTCGCTCGCTCTCCCCGTACAGCTGCGCCGAGTCGAGCCGCGTGATCCCGTACTGGGCGATCAGGTCATACGTGGCTTTGAGGCCCTCGTCGCTGACGAACGGGTCCGCGTTGCCGATGAACCCGGCCCCGAAGATGATCTGGGGGCATTCTTCTGAAGGCATTTCCGTCGGTCAGTTTGAAGTTGGTCTTGTAAAGGATGGTCTGAGGTTGGAGGTGCTACTAGAGATCGGAGAAGACTGTGGTTTAGTAGCGCGAGCAAGCCTTGAAGAAAGAGAGGATTCTGCTTGGATCTTGAATGTATGGAATACGCAAAAGTACTTTGCCCTGATATTGCTATGTCATGAGCCAAAAGGACCCATTGTCGGACAAAAGGTGGGTGTATTTGAAATCAAAACATCCATGGGGAAGAAACCAGTTCAGTCACGTTGGACAGAATGGGATGGGACTCCAGCTGCTAGCCATATCGGATACTATTACGAGACGTGTAATTCGCATTTTTTTTCCCCTCGAGTTTGGTCTGAAGTCGCAATCGACAGTCGATGTGGTGGTGGAATTTGTTCTTCTCATAAATCACGGTCTTTGCGAACGCCGAAACCCGCGGCATTCACAATGGCAGATCAGGAGGGCTTAGGGTGTCGGGTATGATTAGACGCGATTTGTTGCATGACGCGTGATGATTCGTTATTGGACGCGGCGTATTTTCGTTTGCCTGGTTTGAGTATCTCTGTCGGGTTGGGATGTCGCTGGTGATTGATGTGTTTGCGTATAGTGTTTTGCTGACCTCCGATGTTTGTAGATTACAAAAGGTTCGTGAAGAGGTAGGATTTGCTGGGTGACTGGACTGGACTTGACAGGAGTAGAACGCACTCTCTCAATAACAGAAGAAACCACGACACAATGTCGCCCATCACACCATACAAGATCAACATCCCCGACGAAAAGATCCAGCGCCTCAAACAACAACTCGCCCTCGCCGACTTCCCGGACGAGCTGCCCGACGTCAAGCCCTGGAGCAGAGGCACACCCCTGGCCGATCTGAAGCGCCTCGCCGCGTACTGGCAGGACGGCTTCGACTGGCGAAAACAAGAGGCAAAGCTGAACGAGCTGCCGCAGTTCATGACCCAGATCGACGTCGACGGCTTCGGCACCTACGACATCCACTTCGTCCACCAACAGAGTCCCGTCAGGAATGCCATCCCTCTGCTTTTCTGCCACGGGTGGCCAGGGAGTTTTGCAGAAGTCACAAAGATCCTCCCCCTGCTGATCAACGGGGGTGGTGATGCGCCGTCGTTCCACGTCGTCGTCCCCAGTATGGTCGACTATGGGTTTTCTTCTGCGGCGAAAAAGGTTAGCCATTTTACCCATGGGATCATGCATGATATGCATGGATGGGACAATTTGTGTGCTCACACTATGAACTGCGACTCTAGGCAAACTTCCAATTCGAGCAGCATGCCGAGGTGGCCCATAAACTCATGTTGAAGCTGGGATACAAGGAATACGGTAAACCCATACCAAAAATTCGTGCTGAGAACACCGTCATTGACTCTCCCTCCAAAGTGTCGCAAGGAGGAGATCTGGGCTACTTTGTCACTCGCTTCCTGGCCATGCTGTACCCAGAGTCATGCAAGGCGCAGCACGTCAACATGTGCCACCCGCCCGAGATCACGGCCATCTCCCACCCGGCACTCTGGGCCCAGTTCCAGGCGACTCCTCTGACCGAGTACGAAAAGGCCGGGCTCGCCCGCTCCCGCTGGTTCCGCGAGGAAGGCTTCGGCTACAATCTCCTGCACAGCACCAAGCCCCAGACGGCGGGCTACGCCATCACGGCGAGCCCCGTGTCTCTCCTGGCGTGGATCTACGAGAAGCTCCACGACTGGACCGACGGGTACGCCTGGACCGACGACGAGGCCCTCACCTGGATCAGCATCTACTACTTCTCGACCGCGGGTCCCGCGGCCTCGCAGCGCATCTATTACGAAAAGACGCACCGGACTCCCAAGGCAGGGTTTCCCTCGAAGGAAGCTGTCGTCGAGGTCCAGCGCTACATCGACGTGCCTCTGGGCTACTCCCGCTTCCCCAAGGAGATAATCCTGCTCCCGAAGGTCTGGGTCAAGGCCATGGGACCGGTGGTGTTTTTGAAGGAGCACGAAACCGGTGGACACTTTGCCGCGTGGGAGTTGCCAGAGGTGTTGGTCGGGGATTTGCGCACCATGTTTGGCAAGTCGAGTGCCGCGTATGGGGTGGTGCCGGGGAAGTCGGGCTTTGACGTGTAGAGTAGAGTAGAGTAGAGTTAGAGTAGACGGGTGTGGTACCTCATCGTCTGTGAAGGGAGTTACAAGTATGGAATAGGATCTGGGTTTCCTCTCTATTAATTTCCGTTTTTCCCTTTTTCGACCATGACAACTTGACACTTGCTAACAACCCCCTCCCTTAGTAAAGGTAGATTATCCTGGTCAAAGGACCTCATTCCATCCTTCTCCGAGTTTCTGCCAAAAGCCCTCTCTCTCTGTACCTCGTACTCACTCGGGCTTATAATCCGGCTTCTGTCTCCACCACCCGGGAATGCGCTCCCAATCCTCGACCGTGCCTAGAAAAATCCCGTCAAGTCAACAAACAGTTAAGAGAACCCCATACCCGACCGAGAATCTAAACCAAAACCCGCTAGAAAAGAGCCGGGGAGGGGGGATTTGTGACAAACTCACGCTCTTTGATGTACATGTCCTCGGTCGCCGCGCGGTACGCGTCGTAGTACTTCTTGGGCATCTGCACGTTGACGAACCACTCCCTGTCGCAGGCCCACTCCTCGACGATCCGTATCGTCCCGTGATGGCGCGGGTCCCAGTACGTGTCGACGAAGAGACACTCGGGCTCGGCGGTGACGGCCTCGAACGTCGTGCGCAGGTGTCGGAGGAACTCGTCGGCGTCGGCGTCGGCGACGTGGAACGTCACGTGGAACATGAGCCGCGGTTTTCGCGAGGCCTGGGCAGCGGTAGGCATGTTTTACTTTTTTTTTTTTTCGATGAGGAAGATAAGAAGAAGGTTCCAACAAAAATTCTGGTGAAAGAGTTTCTCAATCACAGCATGGAGATAAACATGGTGCACAGTCACGACTAGTATACCTAAGAGGTAAACCTTTTACTCTAGATGGAATCCAAGATATACTCATTGGCTCATTTTCCTAGCTCTCTTCTTGTACCGTTACAGCCAGTCAAAGGTGCTTGGAAACTTCATGTGCGGCATTGTACAATGCCGTCATCCTCTCCAGGCTTTGGATAGCTGCGTTGGGGAAACTTGGAATTACCTATTGGCCGGGTGAGGAGACGATACCCATCATATGCCCGTCAACTCGAGACGCAAAAGATCCTTCCCCACAATCTCCTCTTTCCTCGACTTCATCTCCTCCACGTCCCAGTTAGCCCATGCTAGTCGTCCTCTCAGAAACTCGGCCTCGGGACTCGCGAGCCAGACTGCAAAATGAGCGGGCAGATTGACTGTTGTTTTTTTGTGCGCTAAGTTAGCGGGTGTCCCTCGAGTGGAAGCACTGATGGAAAGATCCCCTACCCGAATCCACAGAAAAAGCGGTATTGCCTATCTTCGCCGACATGGCCGTGGCTACCAGGCCTGGGTGCATGTTGACGATCCGCACCGTCGGGAGCTCCTCCTGGATAATGTCCATGGCCTTTGTAATGGCGATTTTGGATGCCGAGTAGCCGCTGTGTCCTGTGCAATAGCCCCGTCTCACCCCGTAATGCGCCAAGACGCTCGAGATGTTGATCAAGACGGCGTCGGGTTTGCAGTGCCGCAGGAACTCGAGCGCGACGAGAAAGCTACCCTTGACGTTGATGTCGAAGCACTTGAACCACTCGTCAATGTCGATGTCGAGGAGTGGCTTGTTGAGATTCTGGTACCCGGCATTGTTGACCAGGACGTCGATCTTCCCCGCCACGGCTTCGACAGTGTTGAAGGCTTCGCGGACCGCCGGTGTCTTGGTGATGTCGAGCACCAGAGGGTGGATCCTCGACTTGCCCTGGTCCTCAAGCTCGGCTTTGAGTTTGAGGAGGCCCGTCTGGTTGAGATCGATCAAGACCAAGTCTTTTGTGCCCGCCTCGACGAATGCTCGACACATGGCGGATCCGATTCCACCTGCCGCGCCGGTCACGACCACGGCCTTACCAGTGGTTGAAAGCTCTGGCCGCGACGGTGATATGGCTGGGTAAGGGGCATGATGGAACTGGGCAGTGAATTCTGCGAGGACAGGCTGATCTGCCGACATCAGGGGCAAGATGTAGGGGCTCACCTTCCTCTAGACGAGGGTGATATTGCCCAATTGTGGTTCGAGTCAAGAGAGGTTGGCAACATGGTGAATCCTGCTCCTTTCAAGTCCTTAGAATATATCTCATCGGGTAGACGGAGGTTCTCGAGCGAAGACCTTTGAGGATTTGTCATGAATGTCATTCCAGAGCCACGGGCTCCCTTTGTGCCGGCTGCGCCGTAATGCGGAGGAAGCTGCATTTTGAACAGGATTGCAACTCCCGTCTCAACGTTACAGGGACTTCTGGACGCCGGCGTGGCCGAGTCCCGAGAGCAGACAGCGTGATAAACAGCGTAACTATCAGAAGGAAACTTAGTCCTCAGCAACACCACCACATACCTTGGTCAGAATGTGACAACCACTGAATTCCGTCGCTCTGAGATGTCCCTTTCCGTAGCGGGTATTCACTAAAGACCCCACTCAGCCAGTCGAGGCTATAGGTTGGAGATAGAGAATACGCCTGGCAACGTTGATAGGAAGCTGCGATCAATTCAGGGACGAGGGTGATGGCAAGTTGTCGCTACGAATACTTGCAGTCTCAAGCACAGTTGAAGATACCTACTGAGCAGTTACAATCGGCCAGGGGTAGACGCGCTAGTGTATCTAAATACAAACTAGTCCCCCTTGGTCCAACTACTTGACACTTAAGATCATCCGGAGCGGAGCCCGGAAAGCTTGGCACTGGGGGAGGCACCCGTACGTGTCCCTCCGCCAAGACGACTTCGTGTGTCTTATCCGCTGCTCTGCAGGGATGAAACCCGCCAAGTCCGTCACAGCGTCACAGCCTGTCGAACTTTGACTCGTCCAGAAGTGGGATTCGTCCATCACCTTCCCCAATTCGTCGTATCTGAAACGGTCGGCCAACCACCCCTTTGGCGGTTCTGCTGCTCGATGGACACTCATCGACAGGAGGTGGCGAGGTGCCCAAACGGGCGATAACACTTGGGGAGTCAGTATGTATATCGAGCTGCGAGACTCCATGTCTCGTTCTCATTCTCGTATACGCCTAAGTCTTTGCTTCTCGTCCCTTTCTGCTCCTTGCTTTGTTAACTGTGGTCGAGCACCGACGTGAAGACTGCTTCAAGCTGAGATTAAAATAACCTATATCATGGAGACCAAACCCAGAGTGAACAGTCATTCCAAGCGATGGAGCAAGATGAAAACTCGCAGACAGCTTTCCACAGAGACGGTGTCAACCCCACCAGCAGCTACAGCCATTCCCCCTGTGGAAGAAGAGTCCGATTCCGAAAGTGACGATGGCTTGGACAGTGAAGACGACCTTGACGAAAGCGATGATGAGGATGAGGATGAGGATGAGGATCAAGTCGAAGTTTTGCAATCAAGTAGCGCCGCTCCAACGCAGACGTCGAGTCTGCAAGCTCTCTCCTCAACGACTCTACCAACTCCCACTCTTGCACAGTCGTCTATCCAGACAAGTGCAATCCCAACGGTAACCGCAGAGAGTGTAATAACAGTCCCAACATCAGCCGATACATCAATCATCCCGACTTCCTCCAACCCACTTTCCACTACGTCAGCCGTCCCTACACCAGCGATTGTCTCTTCAGAATCATCCTCCACCCCCCTCTCCGCCACGAGCATCGCTGCCATCGGCCTGGGCTCCATCATCGGCGCCGCATGCCTCGGCACTGTCCTGTACTACACTCTCATATGCTGTTGCCGTCGTCGTCGACGTCGGCAAGACCGCGTCCAAAACGGTGAGCCGTACGGGAATCCGTTTGGGGAGGGCCCCGGTGACCAAGCCCGAATCCTCAATTACGCCTCTCCCCCTGCCGTTGCCGAAGTCCAACCACAAGGCCCTCCCCAAGGTCTCATGCCGTTCCGCCAAACACTGTCAACCCTCAGGGACAGCGGGACTGAGATTCCAACGTACGGCCAGGCCGTGACGCACAACCCGTTCTTCCACCCGATCATTCCCGGGAACGAGACGTCTCGGGACGAGAAGCCCGTGCATCTATTCAGGGAGCAAGTCGATCCGTTTCCCGAGAGTGCACGAACAAGTCAATTCACCGGCATCGAGGGGTTTGCGCTGGAGCCGAGGACAGAACAACCTCCCCCCCCTCCTCCTCCTCCTCAACTGGATGAACAAGATCAAGCACCACCAGGGCCGCAATTCTCCCGCTTCCCTGCCCCTGCCTCTCCTGCGCCAGTGTCTCTGCCCGCACCTGAGCTCGCCCACATCCACCCGACCCTCCGGCCCACGTCTCATCGGTACACCGAAGCCCGTTCACGAACCGTCTCCTCGATCATCAACGGATATCAATCGGCTGAAATCCCCCCGTCGACATTAAGTCCCATGCGCAGCGTCTTCGCCGGGCAGAGACACGAGTCCCTCACCCCGAGTGAGTCGGCGAGTAACCTGCCCTACGACCGCGAGGGGGTCAAGCGCGAGATGGAGAAGTTGCAGGCCATGGCGGCGAAGTTGGCGGCTTCCAACGGCCGTGTTGCCGACGGAGTAGGGCTAGGCCGGTATGAGAGTGGGAATGGCAACGGGGATGGGCAGAGGTGGATATGACATGATATATTATGATATGATAGCGGCACGTAACACCGTGTACCGATGAGCATTTCAAATGCTACTATGGTGTCGGGGAGATTTGCCATGATCAGAGGGATTTTGTCTTACTAGATGACTGACTGGACTGGACTGGGTAGATCGACGAGGCCCACAAGGGCGAATTGAACATATATGTTTCAACAGCAATTTTTGATTTCTTCTCCGAGAACTTCTGTACTTCTATTCGGGCATTTCGGTTCGGTTTCAACGCCAGAGGGAGGAAGCCATACTGTCTATCTGGCTGGCTGATCTCTCCATCCATCCAGCCGGCACTCTATCCAGCAGCCAGCAGCCAGCAGCCCACCCGGCGAGCGAGCAATCTCCATCTCCCTATCTACGACCGACGGCGACGCTGGGGACTGAGTAAATCTATCCCTTTCCCC